AAAAAAAAAAAAAAGAATTATTATTTGAGGGGAGACCACCAGGTGGCATTGTGGTTAAGGTATTAGACTTCCACACGGCCAACTGTGGTTCGAGTCCTAGACCTGACAGTTTGAGAATCATGCTGGACATGTGTGTATATATGCCCAAAATTCCAAGAGGAGAATGGAGAAGAAGGAATCGCAGCATGGCCATCCCTCTCTCCTTTCGGAGGGGTGATTTCTCACTTTTCCTCTCACTATCTCTCTCTGGCAAGCTCACATACCCTATGGCAAAAACCTTTTAAAAAATGGAGTCAGAAGATGGCATAGCAGTTATTATGTCTCTTGACCTCCACATGGTTGACCATGGTTTGACTTCCGTACCCAGTGGCTTGAAAATCACTACAGGTCCATGTCCGTGTGTGGTTAAGATGCTGGGAAGAGAATGGAGGAGAAGGGATTGTGACATGGCCCTCCCCCCTGGGGAACTATTTTTTTCACTTCTCTCTCACTGTCTCTCCCTCTCTCTTCAGCAAGTGCATGTGTCCTATGACAAAACCTTCTCAAAAAATAAATTACCAGTTGAGGGACAAGCTCACGACATGGGGTTAAGGCACTGGACTCCCACATGGTCAAACATGATTTGAGTCCCAGACCCAGTGTCCTGAAAATTACACTGGACATGTGTGCATGCTTGCCCAACATTGTGAGAGAAGAATGGAGGAGAAGGGATTGTGGTGTAGCCATCCCCCCAGGGGGTAATTTCTCACTCTCTTTCTCTCTGTCTTTTTCCAGTGAGCACATGCACCCTCTGGCAAAAAAAAAAAAAGAAAAAGAAAAAGAAAAAAAACCTTTGAAAAATCTACCGGTTGAGTTCTATAATTCTGTCACATGCTAGAGCAGCATCTTCACTGTGTGTTATGCCAACACTCATCCTATAGAACAGTAATAGTTGCTCATTAAAAAACAAAACCAACAAGGAACTAAACCTAAAAAAAAACAAATTTCTGGGGTAGAAAAAGTTTTATAAGTGCTTCACTGAAACAATTAGGTATCTCACAGAATGTTTTGTTTTGCAGAACTAGTGTCCATGGGATGACCTGCTTTCCAGCACTATTTTAGTTACAGTTCTGTGTTAACCATGTGACTCGTCATATCTGCCTTCACACTGGGCCTTCAAAACCTATGAGGAAAGAAACTGTGTTTCCTTTTGCTCCCCACTGTATGTCTGCCTAGCACCAGTCTTGTGGCATAATCCTTTGCCCTCCAAAGACATTTGTTGAATGAATGAATGAACCAAACCCAGCCAAGTCACCCTTTCTGAACCCCCTATTTAAAGTTTGTTGTAATATGTGCCCAGCCAACTCTTTGAGTCTTTTATGCGACTGTTTCTCTTACCCAGTAATAGAGTATTATTGTATTGGAAAGGTGATTGTATAATTTGTTACCCAAACTGGGACATTTTTTAAGGTAAAAGGGAATACTAGTAATAATTATAGCAGGATAAAAAGTGTAAACTGAGACTGGGTAACGCAGGAGGGACTGTCTCTCAGTATTGGCGACTGTCTCAGCCTGCCTCCTTTTTCTGAGATTTTATGCTCCTTGGAGCAGGGACCTTACATGTGGAAGGTTTTCAATACATATTAGTTGAAATTAATGTATGCATAGTAATGGCTTTAATGATAATTGAAGATTTACTGTATTTATTCATGCTTTTTTTGAGTTTGGAGAAATCTGTTGCCATAAGCTACTCCCCAGTTCCCCCATTATAGCTGATCTGATACTACAGTCTACGAAAGTGACTAATTGCCCTTGCAAGAAGCCCAGGATGTGTAGATGCTTTGGAAAGTGCTCCTTTTCTGGGACTGGCCTTTCATCTCCCAAAACAGTGAATGGAAGAAAGCCAGTGTTCTTATCAGAACAGGAGGGAAGTAGAAGTGATCGGGTTGCAATCCTGGAGGAGGTAAATGTATGAAGGGGAGCTAGGAATGTGGAGATGCCCTAACTTGCACAGTACTGTGGTGATAAGCACACATTTTCTCAGGGATTATCCTTCATCATGCATTGCCTTAGTGCTGGTGAATCCCCTAAAGGAAAGGGCCATGTGCCTGACATGGAGTATGTTTCTGCTAGCAGCTTGGATTTTGATCAACTAAGAAGATGTCACACTGGGAAATATGGCCCACACCACTCACTTAGTGTATTAATGATTCTGTGTGCCAAAGCAAGCATGCTGTGTACACAGGGATGTAGCCTTAATGTTTTAGGTAGGAATCGTAGGCATCTGGTTCAACTCTCGAGTTCAAGGAGCACTTGATTTAATTAGAGAAATGTTTATAGAGTCCTCATCTTCCCCATTCCCCCCCCCCACAGGGCAAATGTGCTTACCAGAGAGAGAGAGGAAGAGTGAGAAGTCATCCCTTCCCCATGGGGGATGGTCATGCCACCATCCCTCTTCCTCCATTTCTCCCTCTTCTCTAGATTTTGGGCATGCATGCACATGGGAATAGCATGCTTCTCAAGCTGCTGGATCTGGGACTTGAACTGCACAGTCAGCCATGGGATCTAGCAGCCTTAACTACTATGCCACTAGTTGGCCTTAAGCTTTGATTTTTTAATGAATGGTATGTTAAACTATGTCAGAGAGTCAAAAAGGCATTAAATATCACGAGGTCAAGTTCCCTCTTTGGATAGGAAGTAGAGAGGGAGATGGCTCAGTGACCCACAGCAAATCAGTGACAGGACAGCTTGTCACTTTCTACACCAAGCACTATGGTCTTGCAGGTTCATTAAAGTAAAAAATAGGGCCAGCAGGTGGTGTTGAGATTGAGATGCTTGACTGCCACATGACCAATTGTGGTTTGAATGCCACACACAGAAGCCTGAAAATCACTCCAGACACTTGTGTTCATACCCCAAATCCCAAGAAGAGACTAGAGGAGAAAGAATTGCAGTATGGCCATCCACCCTGGGGAGTGATTTCTCACTTTCCCTCTTTTTGTGTCTCTCTCAAGAAAGTGCACATGTTCGGGAACCAGCAGTTAGCATAATGGCTATGTCACTGGACTCCCACATAGTCGACCGCAGTTCACATCCCGGACCCGGTGGCTTAAAACTCACACTGGGTGCATGTGCATGCGTGCCCAAGATCCTGAGAGGAGAACGGAGGAGAAGGGATTGTGGCGTGACCATCCCCCCTGGGGAGTGATGTCTCACTTTCTGTCTCTATGTCTCTCTCTGTCTTTCTGGTGAGCGCACGTGCCCTATAGTGAAAACCTCTCTGAAAAAAAAAAAAGTGCATGTGCCTTATGGCAAAAAACTAAAAATACAAAAATAAATAAATAAATAAATAAATAAAAATAAAACAAAGGGCACTTGCAAATATGCACTGCTTTGTATTTAGTAGGAAAAGAGTCGATAACTAGATTTTCTTTCCTTACAATTTGTCTTACAGAATAAACTACTATCCAGTGAGCTACTCTGAGAGGAACTAGAATTTAATTTTTTCTGTTTATTTTGTCTTAGGTAAGCCTTCCTAGTGACCCAAGCTGTGTTGAGGAAATCTTGCGGGTGAGTTTAAACCTTTATTTCTGTGTGTTTTAATAATGACACAATCTGTTCACTTAAACTGCTTTAATTACTGCTCTGTTTTAAGGTGTATCAGGATGGAAAATACTTGCATTCTTTTTCAAGGCCTTCTGCATATGCCAGCTGTCCCTTTTCTTACTAATCTCTTGTACATTCTCTACTTGATCTAGTGTCCATTATTGGTTCCCTTTTGGTCCTCCTTTTGAGTCCTGGACAGAAGCTCACACCTTCTTTAGGAAACGTTCTCTATTTAAGCACTATACCTTCAATCTTTGCCTGTCTGCTTTATGGGATCTCAACTCACCACTGCTGATGCCTCTCATTACACTGTCAATGGAACATGGCTATGGAGATTGTACCCGGTAATGAGAGGATGAGATGTGAGAGGGCAGGAGACAAGGAGAGACTTGGACTTTATGGGAGTGAATTTGTATGTGAGAATGGTGCAGAATCAGAATAAAATTGAAAACGGTGCAATAACCTCTTTCTAAGTAAAGAAACAGGGAAACTAAAATAGTCAAGTCAGAAAAAAAAACAAATATCTACCTAGTAACTCTAGCCATTGGTGTCATAAAGCAATATGGTATCTCAAGAGCAGCAGTCACGAGAGTGAGTTTCTCTCCTGATTCTACCAGTTGTCACTTGTATGACATAGAACAGATGACTCCATCTTTTTGGATCTCCCTTCCTTGTCTGTCAAAGAGGGAAACAATTCCTGCCCTAATTCCCTTACAAGCTGCCAAGTGGTATATATATGCTCGTTGTTATGATAAATGATGATCAGGCATGTGTGTGAGAACCATACAGGCTTTCTTTCTGGGAGAGAAAACAATTTATGTACTAGTGAAAAGCCTGCACCCCCTTTCCTCACTTACCAAAGTCACCCCAACTTGCTCCTGAGCCTCCTACCTATAAGTACCGTTCCAGCAGCCCAGTGTTTGAAGCAAGCCCTGTGAAAATGTAGCCAACGCAATAATAAGGAGCAGAAAGCCATTTCCCATCCAATTGGCCAGTCACTGATTACACCAGTTGTGGATATTCATGCACCTGTTTGGGTCCAGGCACATTATTGTTGAGTTAAAGAGATGTGTCATATTTGATAAGAGTTGAGACTATCGATTAGGGCTGTGCTGGCTCATTTTCGTAAGAGTCCAACAATCCCTTGGTCATCTGTCTCTGCATCTCTGCAGCTCAAAGGCTGTTGCACAGTCCCCCCTTGCGATGCACCTGGGAAACCCAGCTGCTTGCTCCTTTCCACTGGGTGCACACAGGCTTGTTTGTCAGTCTTCTTCCTTAGAGGAAGGTAACATTGAAGGAACTGTTTTACTCTAATCCAGACAGTAATGTTGTTTTACTTCTTTTTCTCCTCTGGGTCACAAGAACAAATGAAGTATGGTCTTTTTCTGAACCCCCAAAGGAATGCTGAAGCCACCTCAAAATCACCACCTAGTTTGTCACAATTGTGCTTCTTGTCTTAAGTGCAGCCTGGCCCTATTGCCTAGGTGGTTCACACAGTGAGTAAGCGACGGAAGCAGGGCGAGCGAGCACCTGTCAGAGCTGGAGGCTCTGGTCTACTACAGGAGCCACTTAGAGAAACAACAGAATGTCACTCCGACTTGGAAAGAAAAGAAACAAGTTGCCTTAATAAGCTCATAAAGATAGCACCCTTTGAGAAAGTAACAAAAGTCCTTCTCTTGTTAGTGAAAGGGAATCTAGAGAAACATTTTTTTGGTCTTTGTTTGTTTGTTTGGTTGGTTTTTTGAAGGGCTATAGACTGTATAGAATTTTTTTCAACATCATTAATGAATGGGATTTTCTTTATTGAAGGATGAAATGTTTCATTCCCCATGCTTACAATAAAAATAAGCTTTCTGAAGTTTATGTCCCAACTTTTAGGGCTAACTCTTCAATGTTTATACACCATATTGCGTGTCACCACAGACTGCTTGCCGGACTTTCTTATCACCTGGTAATGTTCCTGCCGCTTCGAGGACCTTGGATCCATAGAAAGGCTTTTTGTCACCTTGCTCTCTATCTGCCTTCTTCTTAGGAGAAAGTAGCTTTTTTTGTTTTTCTCTCTACCTCTGGCTGACCCCTCAGTGCTTTTCTGGCCAAGCAGAGTGAAGAGCAAGGTTGTGTCTACTCTCTGAAGTGGACTCTGCAGAGGAAAGACCACTAGCCCATGAGCAGGAAGGGCTCACTTCTCCTGCTGAGAGATTCTCTTACCTCCCAGCTGAGTGACTTTTCAGGCTTCTTCTCTCCAAAGCCAGGCTAGCTAGTGCTACCTCAATCTTGCTGCCCAACTCCTGTGAAGGCATCTTCCAGCAGTCCATATCCTTTGCATCTGGAACATGGAAACCTTTGTCTGTTTGCTCTCCCAACTTTACCAACTCATTTCTCCCCTTTTCTCCCCTCCACAGCTTGACCAGGGAACACACGCAAACCCATTTCATCTCACACTGGGACAGATTTCTTTTATTAACCAAGCACAACACCTCTAGCCCCTCCCAATCTCACTCAGCCCCTCAGGCCCCAGGCAATGGAAATACTTTTGCCTCATGAGTTTTATTTTTGGCCCTCTTTCTCAAAACCCCATTCAAATTCAAACCAGTTGGCCCTGAATGCCCCTCTCACCATCTCTCTGACAATGGGCCCAGCTCCCCTTCAGATCAGCACCATTTCTTTTCCTTTGCTGCTTCTGGTTCCCCTAATACACTGGAGCCCACCCTTGCTGATCTTCCAGTCTTTCTTCTTGCCCTTGCAGGTGCAATCACATTACAACAAGCTAACTCTGTCTCATATAGCA